AACGGCAAGTATTGTAATCCACTGATCGCGCGTCGACCCTTTATGACGTCACTGAGAAATTACGTCAAACGATTATCCAAACGCACATCTATGACCTCTTGACCCCATACCTGTATTTATACAGTTATAGATATGCATTCCTTTCAGTAGTGTTATATAAAGGAAAACATTTGCAAATGTAAATATTGCCTTTTTAATGTTAGATCTTTTACTATTGATTTGTTGGCAACAAAATGAATATTTTCTTCGTATGTAGATAATATACTTTTAATCGCTACATAGAAATATGCAAACCTGTACACTAAAGTCATGTTAAATGATACAGTAAAATTCCTACTTAACCCAAGCGATTGTTGAAAACCTAGGCTACAGAAAAATACAAATGGTCTCTTTATCTTTCAATGAGCCGTCACAAAATAAAAGGCTATATTTATTGGAAAAAAGAACAGTTATATTTGTTTTCAATTCCCTTTCAGATATAAAAGACATGAATTCAAAAAAACATTTTTTTTATTTTGTTGCGTAGGAGTAATACGCATTTAATTATTTTTTAATGCCTTATCTTTTGTTAATTTTCTAATAAACAAAAGATCAAAAACACAAACGTTCCTATACAAAAACACCCGCACACATACACATGGTCGCACACCCTTTCCTCCCAAAAACACATGTACAGCTTTTCATAATTACATCTGACAAACCAAGTCAAACATTGTCCATCTTTTATCTTGAAGTTATCATTATCATTTTCAAAAGCATGATGGCAATTTTCAAAATCTCTCCAAAAGATCCTAATTGTTCACAATCGCAAAGAGTTAACGATGAATCAATGTTTTCTTTTCTGTTTTAAATAATTATCAAGCATTATTTTCAGCCGTATTTATAATTATCTTTTGTAGAAAGGAATTAATTTTGTTGTCAGGAAGTTTATAAGAATTTATTATTGAAAGTAATTTTTTTCGTGTCTTTTGAGAGCAAATTGATGCATTCCAGTGTTTTTGTAGTAGGTTCATTTCAATAAAACTTTCATTTTAATTTCTTTGACTCTGGTGGAACAAATTCCTTATCTTCATAAGTTTATACAGAAATTTGATATTTGACACAGACATCATTTTTATAAAACAAATACCTACAGGTCTGCAAATTGATTTATACTACTATATGTCATATAAAACAGTTATTTTGAATCTTGATGATACTCTTTATTCAATATTTAAATAGTTTTGAAAATTATTAGAATCAACCATATTAAAAAAAACATTTACACAATTGAATTTTTCGTCACCTGAGTCTTTCAGTACTCTAAAATCTTTTTTCACTCAAGTTGTGTAAAAACTTAATTTTTTTAAATCAATGGAATTTTTGATATCAGTATATAAACAACTGAAGCATTCACATAAGTCTCCTGAACAAAAGTAAAATAAATTAAATTAAATTAAAGTAAATAAAATTTATTATTGAGTCAAATGCTGACTGATGTTTTTCATACAAATTGTTACTCCATTATTTATACACTAAATTGACTACGGACTTTTCCATTATTCCCCAATCATGACAAGAAGCACACTGTGGGTGTGAACTATCGGCAGGGGATGCCCACTCATCAATTTTACCTGATCCCACCTCTGATATTTTAGAACCCGTGATGCTCTTCTCCTATTCTGTATTGTTTTATGGACATTTGTCCTTGAATACTGTTTGGTATATCTTAATGTATCATTCCTTCGTTATTTTGAGTATTTGAAGATACTGCCACTATGACCCTTTCTCCGTTGAACTTTATAGCATAAAAATAATTATTCATAAACTCTCTTAAAACAGAAAAGGAAAACAATTCGAAATAAACATCGTATTGGTATTATTTACTCTGGATCTACTGTCGTCCTTAGCAGCTCTGCTCTTATTTTAGTTATTTGTGCTCGGACAGCTTGCTCATATTTTCTACCTCTTTTAAACCTTCTCAGTTTAAGACTATAATAACTGCTTTTTTACATCTCGTTTATATGTTTTTGAATAAATTTTGCAATCAGTTACCCCAGCATAATAGGTGTGTCTACAATAATATTTTTCTTAAATAACTTTGCATTTTTTTTTATTTAAAATCAGCTGTGTATGATGTCCAAAAGTCCGACGCTAATTCATTGTTTGAATAATGTTTTATAAAGTTTGAAAAGTCGTGCATTTAGAATTAATAATAATTAATAATAGTGTCTTATTTTCAAAATGCACAGAAATGCCTTCCTCTTAAACAATCTTTCGATATAGAAAGCACATATGCAACTCAATATTTCTAAATTAAAGCACATTTCTACGAATCATTTTAAGAAGAAAAACTCGCTCAAGAGAAATAAAACATTGACAAAGTAGTTTTAGAATTGCTTTTTTGTGGATACGCTCTTTGTACATACTTATTTTCCTTCTACTCTTTTAAATTGTTTATACTTAACTTTTTAACCTTTTTAGAACATGATAAGTGGTATCATCTTCAACCTTTACAATAAAAAAAAACAAGGAAGTTACTTATGCTATATTTAAATTATAAGCAATTATACATACTCAAATACTGTAGTTTGTCTTGATTTATTAGAATTTCATATGAAAATTTCTACTTTTTTCTAAGAAAGAAATTATATTTTTTCAAAAGGATAAACATGTCCTTGAGAGTCGCTTTCCTTTGAAAGTCTTGGTCTCGATTTTTTTTAAATCGGAATTATTTTTACTAATATTTATTCATTTATGTAAAAATATTTTTTTACTGCTGATTAAACAAAGAGGGATGTAGAATTTAAAGTTGGGACTAAACAGCATTAGAAACAAGGGATTGATATTGTAGGCCCAATCCTATGGATGACCCTCACCCTCGACTACCTTAACTTTGAGGTTCATTTTATGGATGGGGAAATTATTTTCACAATCCATTATAAATTTAATTTATTGAAACTTACATGCTCCATGAATATATTAACAAAACTTTGAAATCAGGGAGACGCCTCAGACAGTTTGCTAAGTTTTGACTTAAGTATGAACACTTATGAAAACTTATTTAAATATCAAAAATTCGATTTTGTGAATTTATAAAGTCTGCTTTAAATAAATTGAAATTACTTTAACGAATGTTGCCTTTATCCCGTGTTAATAGTTTAATAAAGATTTCGCTGTATGCTTGCCATGTTGAGAGTGATAATTTGGAATCAGTGATAAATACTACCCAATCCATCCCCTGATGAAAAACTAAAATTATTATCATACCAGTATCAAAGAAAAACATTTTATTTCTTTTATCCATGATATGAATAGCAGAATGTCTTCATGTCCGAATTCAACATTTCATAGTTCTACATGTTTTTGTGTGTGAAAAAAAGTTTAACACTTATACATGTACATGTACATCAGTCACCTCTAGTGACCGACTTAGTTTTGCTATGATCAAGTAATTCTGGCAAACTTCTAGTTACGGTCTTACGTTTATGACTATTTAAATTAAGTCCTCCTTAAGCATTGTCTAAGACTAAAGTAATCTTTATTTTACGATCCCCAGGTTTTAGAGGTTTTTACTTCTACAGAATTAGAGACATAAAATAAACAATTTTTAATATTCTTTTTTAATTTATGGCACTGAGACCCCCCTCTTCTCTTTGAATCTGCAAGTAAGAGTGCATGTTATCTCTTATTATGTTTTTACACCAAATTTATGAACATTGCGGTCGATAAAGTTTAAAATAGCGTTTAGCTAGACCATATATACACACTGAATTGTGGACGGAATTTTTTTCTTTATTTCCCAATAAGGACAAGATCACACGACAGAAGTAACCAGTCGGTAGGGGGTGCTCACGTCGCCATGGTTCCTGATCCCACCTCTGATGTTATAGAGGGCTGAGTTTGCTCTGCTCCTATTCTGAATTGTTAATTGGACTTTTGAGCTTGAATACTGTTCGTTATCACCATTCATTTCATTGGAAGAGATCGCAGATAAATTTTATCGTGCTCACTAAATATATGAAACTTGCTTAAATCTTCAAATGTATCTTCCAATCAATGTGCAAAGATTCGGTGTTGTCTGTAAAATAAATTCCGATATTCTACTTACGTAAAAACTGCTTCACAGAGCATATCACTTTACCGCTCTTAGACTAGCTTTGTTGATAGAGCTCTTGCACCGTGATCGTAAGAACGTGGGTTCGAAACCCTCCCCGTAACAAATCCAAGCCGATACAAAATAGATAGCAAGAGTTCCTTCGCCAAGCACTCGACATTTTGATGTGAAAGTAAGCTAGAGTATTTTATATAGGGAAAAAATAAGTAGAGGTAAAATAAATATTTTTGTCACATTTAGAAATTTCCTGACGTCAAAAAGATACAGCTACTCGTTACATTATATATATCATATATTCATATATATATAATTACATTTGTATATTTATATTTTTCTTTGCGTTTTACTTTGCTTTTTGTCTACTGATTCTCTTTAATGAATTATCAACGTTCAGGGAACGTGATTTAAACACTTTCACAACACTTTTATATTTTTCATTTCAGTGCACCTTAAATGGCTTTAAAGTATATTTACAGTATCTTTAAAGAGGGTAACAAAGGAGTAAAGAATATCTAAAACAGACATTTCACTTTTTACATCAGTATGTCGGCATCCTTTTCTTAAATTGACTGGGAGTTGTGGCTTTAGAAGAGCCCCATATAAAGATATACAAAAATGTTCCAATTTTAAACCTAAAATGTATAAAAATTTTCTTTGCAAAATGATAGTTGACAGCTTTAGATATCGTATCTACAAAATTAAGTTAGATTTGGTGGTTAATTCGTGGTTCATTTGCTGAACTCCCAACCTCCTTAAGAATTCTCATGAAGATAATGTTTACTTTCTATTTAAAGTTTGTTCTTGACCCAAGGGTTTTCTTCTTTAAAAAAAAGTTTCCGCGAAATGTACTTTCTAAGAATTCAATTTAGTCGCAGCTTCATCATATATAAGGAGAGCATTTTGTCCATTGCTGCTTTAGGAAAACCTCTAAGGCTGCAAAATGCTGCAGGAACTAAGACCGATTATTTTGACTGTTTTGCTTAGTAGTCTTACCGATTCGTATAATTTATCGTCCTTCAATTACCCTCCAGGAGACATAAAGCGATGTATTTCGATTCTTGGGGATAGCGTCGAACGATTTGAAGTTCTGCCAGGCATTGGATGGGACAATCTTGAAAATAGAGACAGAAGTATCCTGGTATCCTATAACTTCAGCAAATGTCAGACGACCGATGATGGACAATTTATTATTCCGGACAATGTATTTTCGATTCCAATTAAAACAAGCTATATTGAACTATTTGGAGAAATGTTTCGTCACTGGTCAGAATTCACGTCTACTACTGCAAGTTCTATCAATGTAGAAACAGGATTGCAATTCAAAAAGTTTAGCATAAGTGGGTCATTTTCTACTGAATTTGAAAAAATGAAAAAGAATCAAATACAGGACAAATCAGTAACAACGCGTGCTCAGGCAAGATTTGTGCGCTATTCTGCCAAACTGCAGCCTGACTCAAAACTAAGCCCTGCATTCCAACAGCGATTGAAGAATATTGCTTTCTATATCCAGAAGAATATGTCCAGAGTTGCATCGTACGAGAGTCAATTGTTAGTTCGAGACTTTGGAACTCATATTGTTTCAAGCACTGATGCTGGAGCGATAGTAACTCAGATTGATGAAGTGAAGTCAGATTTGATAAAAAGTAAAAATAAAGATAGCAGCAAAATCATCGCTGCAGTGAGTGCCTCTTTCCAAGATAAATTTAACATTAATAGTAACTTCAGTAAAACTGCTTCTTCCGAACAAGTAAAAGAATATGAGCGCAGTAGAACACACTCTGTTGTCAATACTTTTGGAGGACCTATATTCAAACCACATAATTTTACCCTAGGTGAATGGGCGTCAAAAATCAAAACAAACTTGGTTGCTGTTGATCGCGTTGGGTTTCCTATTTACGAACTCATTACTCTTCAAAGTTTACCCGATCTTCCTCCATTTCTTCTGTTTTCTGTTGTGGAACATGTAAAAGCTGCAGTAGAAGAATACTACAAATTCAACACCTATCGTGGATGCACGGATTTTGATTCTCCGAATTTTTCGTACACAGCAAATGTAGAAGACGGAACGTGTTCGTATAAAACAAGTAACTTCACATATGGTGGTGTTTTCCAAACCTGTAGTCAAAAAGGAGCGTTGAATGAAAACCTTTGTAAAGATCTTGTGCAGAAAAATCCATTGACGGGTGATTTTTCATGTCCAAGCGGATATAAGCCTGTTTTATTGTTAAGCAGTAAGATGCGGTCGTCAGAGACTCGCTCCAAGTGCACCTCTTGTGGGTTCCTTTGGCTTAGTACATGCTGTACAAACTACCACGTCCATGGGACTGCCTATTCAGAAGCAAAATGGTGTGCTGTACTGGGGAAAACCGCCAATAAAAATGGATTTCTTTTCGGGGGAATATACTCCAGTACTATCGACAATCCGGTAACACAAACCCATGGCTGTCCACTCTATTTCTATCCTCTGAAAATTGGAACTGAAATGAAGGTTTGTGTAAGCGATGATTTTGAACTAGGAACCAAATATTCTGTTCCCTTTTCTGGTTTTTTTAGTTGCAAATCAGGGAACCCTTATGCCATTGGAAAGGATTCATCATTGAATAACACGAAAGATTTGCATGCATTTCTAACATCAGGTAATCCTTACCTATGGCCACGTGGTTGTCCGACTGGCTATAGTATGCATTTAGCGGCTGTGGAGAGTGGTATTTGTGAAGTCAATTATTGCGTTAAAGCGCGTGCTTTTTCCTTGAAGAGGTTTCCACAATTACGCACACCCCCGTTCATGGAACTACCTACAAATGCGTTCAATGATGGCGACGATTCGACGGAAGTCTATGTAGTAAATGATGATAGAAAACGATGGATTCATCTTACACCAAAAGCACCCAGTGACAAAACATTTAAGCCTATGTCAGCGTTATCAAATTCATTCTCTATGAACAAGGGTGTGAAGATAGACATTTCTTTTATAATGGTTTATCAGATGGTTATCCTGGTAGCTTGTTTCCCTAATCATTTTTGAAATAAAATTTGTGAAATTAGGGGATGTATTTTATTATCATATTGCATGTACCAAATATTACTCTTAAATGTATTCACAAAATCATTTTGAATTACTAATATTTATTAATCCGACCATTGATCTCGTGTATGATGAATCTGGTAAGTCGGAAATTAACATTTGACATCTCGAAGACTGTGTAAAAAAAACAAACAATTAACAATACATAATTTCTAACAATTAATATTTTTTAACTTTTTTGCATTGTGTACAAATTCGTGTACTATTGATGTCATTTTTTTATGTGTTTGTGTTGCATATGTGATTTGAAATGAATGAAAATAAAAATACTTGCGATTCAATCATTATTTGTTGCAGAGTAAAAGGTCTGAATTAAAATTATCCTTTTATAGTACCAGGTAATTTTTTTTAAAGAAACTGCTACACTTTACCTTCAGGGGAGTTGCTTTCCACATTGATCGTCTACAAACAGGCACGTTGGAATAAAATAGTATATTTTGTTTTCTCAGAATTTATCAGCTTGTATAAGGGTTCACAAAAGGACGTATGTTCCATCAGGAATCAACAGGTTCCTTTTGATGATTATGGTTAACGTAAATGTCAGAGTTTTATGATACTATCACATATACCTGTTAAATCAAGATTACTCATGCCCTCCTCAAGCAGTTTAATTCGAATTAAACGTAAAGATACTGTGAATTGAATTTAAATGGCATTTACGTAGAGAATTTTTTGGGAAACAATTAATCTGAATTAATTAACTGCGCATTAAATTACTTCGCAAAGCTCCGCTTACTCTTTAAGCAGAGTTAATTCGAATTGAAGTTTAAAGCATACACAAGCGCTGTATTAAATCACATACCACATTTAATACCCAGGAGCAGACAGGAAGATTTTTAAAGATTTGATGCATTTTCACTATATAATCAATAGAGCCCCGCCCTAACACCAAAACCCCTGACCCTGGGGCCTTAAATTTCACAATTTATGTAGAGACACTCTTGCTCATCATAACTACAGGTATGTACTTAGTTTATTTATTACTCAGAAACAGAGAAGAAGATTTTTAAAGAAATAATGCATTTTCACTATATAATCAATAAAGCCCTGCCCTAACACCATAACCCCTGACCCTGGGGCCATGAAATTCACAATTTTGATAGAGGCACTCTTGCTCATTATAACTATGAACTTAATTTGTTTATTTAATGCCCAGGAGTAGAGAAGAAGACTTTCAAAGAAATAATGCATTTTCACTATATAATCAATAAAGCCCCGACCTAACACCATAACCCTGACCTTGGGGCCATAAATTTCACAATTTTGGTAGAGGTTTCAATGCTGATTACAATCATACTAATTGTTTGACTGCTTGATGTCCGGGAATAAAGAAGAAGATTTTTAAAGATTGAACTAATTTTAGTGGTATTCGCCCCACCCACCCCCAGGCCCCAGGGGGGCAGGGATCATGAAATTCTCAATTTTTGTTCCCCGTCACCCATAGATGCTATATGCCAAAATTAGTTGAAATTGCTTCAGTGGTTTCAGAGAAGAAGCTGAAAATGTTTAAATGTTAACGCACGACGCACAACGGAAGATGGACGACGACGGACAAAAAACAGATAGCAATAGATCACCTGAGTTTACTCAGGTAACTTAATAATGTGAAAATATGTTAATTAGTCACTATAATTATTATGTCAGATGGATCTGTTCTGATTTTTTGACCAGATTTACAAATGATATCAAATTGATAGTCTTACTGAATTACCTAAGTGTTGAAATAAAATTTTAATTTGCATTATGTTACTGAGAATTGAACTCTCCCCTTGAACAGGACCATGAATCTCTTTTTTGTACAAGTGTGTGTTCTAAATCCATCAAAGAGGTATCAGATGATATGCCATTACTCTAACTTTATAAACATATACATGATAAAAGTGGAGATCAAATGTTGAAACATTTTAGATTTTATCAAGTCACCTGATTCATTCCGGTAAACTATCGATGTCTGTTTTCATCCGTCGTTATGCGTCGTACGTCGTTCCTCATACGCATGCGCTAACTTCTTACCATTTTTCAGTTTTCTCTTTTTTGAAACTGCTTAACCAACTTCAACCAATTTTGATACATATGAGTGTGGGGAACAACAATTTTGATTTCATGGTCACTGTCCCATTTGGGCCTGAGGGACGGGGCAAACACAACTTAAATTTATGCGATCTTTAAAATTCTTCTTTACTTCTGGACATCACGCAATCAAACTATTGGCATGATTAATTATGCATCGATCTCTCTACCTAAACTGTGAGCAATATTGACTTTCAAAATTATGAATTTCATAGGCTCTGTTTTTAAACACAAACGAACTTAAATTGTTGGAAAGTTGCTTCAAATGATACTCAGGTAACTTCCACGTAGAAGGCAAACGGACCTCTTATTGATATACATATCCGTTCTGAATCTTTGGTCATGTAAATTAACATGTTTCGATCCCCGAAAAAAAAATCTCAGCCCATCATAAGTCGATTTGCTTTATGGTAACAAAAGTGTATTCTTATGGTGGATACAAGTTCACAAAAAGAAATAATTATAGAAAAGGGAATATTTTAAAAACAAACTATAAACCAATGACTGTATTGCTCGGGTTGAGAATATGTGTATTATTCAATATATTTTCCAGGAAGACGTAAGTGAGCATATTTCAGTAATATCTATGAAATATTATACAAATATGGACTCAATGTAGGTCAAAATGCATTATAAGGACCCAGGGTGACAGATATTGACCGAAGATACATGGAGCATCTCGACCGAGGGAGCTAGACCGTGCATTGAGTCCATATTTAGTATATTATATGAATAATACTTTCCCAAGTATATTAATACAATGTATATCTTCCTAATGTTTACAGAGATAGAATAACCATAAATAAGTAGAACGTAAATGTTTCAGAATTTATTGAATGTTACTCAGAGGAACTTGTTTCGATAATAAATTTTAACCCATAGCATTATAATTACGCAAGATATCTATCTCCGAATATCACAGTCAGCGAACGCCCTCCCCCAGATTGAGAATCGCACTCGTTTACACTTGCAGAGGGAATTATATGCATGGACAAAATATAAATACTTAAGTCTTCTACGATAAGATACTCTCATACATGACACAGTGACACTCGTCTTTATTTTCTTTAGTCTCCGTAATCGCGTAAACAGCGTCAAAATTGTTTGTATTCTCAGCCTCAGACTTCTTCACTTTATCTTTTAAATTTTCCTCATCTACAACTTGGAAACTAACTTGCGAACTTCCATGTTTGTTTAAAGCAAAAGTGAAAACGAGGCAGCTCGTGCGAGTCATTATTCGCTTTCAGCGGTCGTTATTAAAAAATAATTACTTCGTATTGACCAATTAGATTACCGGATTTCACAAAGTTATATAATAAATAGAAATAATAAACGGTATAAAAGCTCCAAGGCCATTAATGAATACAAATTTTGGAGGAGAACAAACACAGACCTCCATGTCAGATGTTATGTATCTACTGACGTTACACTCGCTTCGTGCTCCTTGTCATGATTAGGAAATAACCGGTAATTCCTTCGACAATTCAGTTTATAATCAATGGCCTGGCAATTAGGATCATTGTCTTTTACTAATTTAAATCTGAAGTTTAAAATGATTACATGACAGTTAGTTAGAGTTTTGAGAATCCACATCTGATTTGCACTACCCCTGCAATATATTTTATCACAATACGCTTTAAGTTTCCTTTGTCCGTTAGTAGCGTTGCTAGGACTTGGAAGGGTATTTACATGACCCGTCAATGTATTATTGTTTGAGAAGACGTGTATTACTCTGAGTAAGTTAAGAAATCGAGTAAAGGTAGTGTATGTCGAACTCACCACGGCTAAATTGGATTGTTAAATGTTTTAGATACTAAATATGATTTTAAAAATTTCATCATTAGAAAGTGGACTGGGTTTCCACATATGTGTGTAATGATTTTGGTATTATGTGATTTTCAAATACAAAACCGTGATCGGGTGGTTGTGAATTCGTATCTCGGTCGCGACTGACCTAAGTTGATAAACAAAAATGAGTAGCAACTGTTCCTTTGCCATGCGCTTGGCACTTTGAAGTGAAAGTTGTGGGTTCTTCGGATGAGACCTTAAAAATCGAGGCCCCGTGTCAGCGGCAGGCTTTGCCACGATAAATAACCTTCACTGCTCAATAGTCCTCACTGCCGAGTAAAGGTCAAAATTTGAAGCCCTTCATCGGCTTACGGTGACGTCTCTATATGAGTGAAAAATTCTCGAGAGGGACGTTAAACAATACACAATCAATCAATCAAATACAAAACGAAGAAAATTTGTTTGATTATCAGAATAATTACAAAAGCTAATTTGATTCGAAATTTAGACTCAAGTCTCCATATATTTTATTGGCTTTAGGTCAACATTTTCATCTTTTAACCCTTTTTTAACACTTGATTATGCATTTGTGAATACGAACAATATATTTTTTTAAAAAATGAACTACAAATTGTTTCTATCCATTAAAAAGAACTGTTAAAGTGTATTATAATGAAAACAACAGAACCTAGAAGTGTACAAATACAGGTAAACACTTTTTAAAACTGCATTCATTTCTTAAAGCTATCATAATATTTTTATTAATTGAAATAATAAAGTACGGCCCATTGATTCATTTCTCATTGTATTTTTAAAATTAGCACATCACCTGGTTAGACGGTTACGTGATCATATATTAATATATTGTGTACTACATGGAGGCAATATTGCAAAGGCATTTTCTATAGACGTCGAGCACGGTGTCGGTGTCAAAAAGTCAATAATTACTATTACGGCGGTATATGCGCTACATGTATTTCCATAATTTTAAAACAATTCAATATATGAAAACTATATATCATTCGGTCGGTAATTGTATACTAAATATATTTCAGCAAAAATATTGATAAAAAAATTCCAATTATCAAATATATCAAATATATTAATTCAACTAAATCAATTACGTCAAAAACACATGTAGATAGGTAACAGGAGCGTCGCACACGCAATAAAAACATGTTGATAATTTTCATAAAGCAAACAATTCAAACACAAAATTTAGCAGAAAAAATCAAAATATGATGTAACTGATGTAAAGTTTTACAATTGTGATTTTGTTCAATCCGAATGTTGTGAACGCGTTGTTCAAAATGCAAGACAGCGATGTAGATAAGCTTTATCCGAAGAAATTTTGAAGGAACATAAAATGTCATCAGTAACTTAAAAAAATAATTTTATGAGCAAAATCAATTTTGAAATGACATGTCAATGATTCTTTTTGTGTGTAAGAAACTATATTTTAAATTAGACTGATATTTTGTGTCGATATGTATGTTGGGTTTCTGATATTAAGCCGATTTATTGTGGGGACATTGACTAAGATGGTGTGTCACAAAGTTTGGAGATTCAATGTCGAAAAGTTTTTAAAATTCGTAAAATGGCAAATTTTGTGATGCTGGATGAAAAATTGATGTTGAAAATTATTTTAAATTCTACAAAATGTTGCAATGTTATTAAGAAATGGATTTCTAGACAGCATTTTAACTTGCGGTACCTTAAATTTTAATAACAATTGCCGTGTTACATATATTTACTACATGTAGCTATACGTCACAACTGAATTTGACGGCAAAAACATCACGTTTGAATGCTACACCCCAGAAATGACCTACATTTTAAGAATTCATTTTTTAAATTTAGCACCAAACAACGTTTAATTCAAAATGTGCAAGATCAAAACTTTATTTAGATATGAAAATGAATTGATTCTATAAAGAAGTGTTTGTTATTTAGGCTTTTTACAATGTCAACATAAATGTCACATATTGTCCAAAAGTAATAAATTTTACTATAATTGTATAAATGTGGTAACATTGATCATATGTGTAGTCATTGAAAATAGACATATTGAAAATTAAGGATTTTTATGAAATGTGCATCTTTTCAAAAAGTTATTGGTATATTCCAAGTAAATTCTTGTCAGAATCTGTACAAAAGTACCATTCAGAGTTCGAATTAAGACACGAGAAAAAGATCACACAAACCAAAATTTATGCAAGGATATGATTTCAAATTTGAATTAACTCACAGTAAAGTGTGTCAACTCTATTTTATGCTGGTATAAGATGTTCTATACATGGTGCGTTTACTTTGAATGATCCAATATTGAATAAGGGTTAGGGGTTAGGGGTTGTCGGTGGTGAGTACAAAGGTATTTGATTTTCATTACAAGATGGGATGGGACTTTGAACGAAAAAAAAATCAATGCTAAATCAGCAAAATATCTATAATCGTACAATTTACTAAAAACAAGAGACAGGATCTAGGGCCTACTGAGATGGATTTTTTTTAATTTTTTAATTTATCTCAATAAAATAAAAAGCATAAATTTAAAATGCGATGTTGAGCAAGTTTTGTTATTCTACCAATGATTTTTTTAAATGAGGCAAACCATGCTCAAACTTTCCTCCCGCAACATGCATGCAGAAGGGTGCAGATAATTTAATGACACGTATTTTAAATTACGTGCATTATATAATTGGCGGCATTACTGTGTTTTTATTTTTCCTCCATAAAAAAATGATAGCAAAAAAGTAACGTCAAATAAATTTTCTATAATTTCACGTAGAATAGCGTCATTTTGACATTACCGAAACTGACCCAACACCGTGCGAAACGTCATAATTAAGTTAAAAATAAATGAATGAAAAATTGTAAACATATCGCCTTTCTCAGAAAAAATTATTGTGTTAAAAAGAATTCGCATCTTATTATTTAAATTTCAATTCAGTGCAGAAGTTGAATACTAGTAACATGTAACCCTAACCAGCACTTTTAATTCCTTTAATCCCTTTATCAAGAAGTGCAAGCTTATAAAAGCAGTTAAGAAATGTGCCTTTTAAAGTTTAAAGAATATAAAATCTTATAAGTATACAAAGTGTATCATATCTTTTCAACATTCTAAAAATTTTAATACTATCACCGAATAAATTTCAAATATTAAAATATATTGGAAAATTTACTAAGAACCGGACAATTTGTACCCAGACAGGAACCTGTAACTTTCATGCATGAGTTTGGAAATTTTGGTGATGGTTTGAAACCCTGAATTGTTTTCTTTTTTCAGTTTTATGACAAGATGCCCTGAGGTGTTTGCCATTTACTTGCCTGAATAGCATTGAATATGTACACACGAGTAGTGCCATCTACAATACCAGCTATATACGTAGTGGGTCCTTTGTTTGTGCAATATGCCCCTTTATAAATTATGGAATTTAAAGAACTATATGCGGTATATTACATACATTTGCCCCCACAAAAGTCAAATTTTGAAAACTTCCTGAAATGTGCTGAATTCAATAAAATGTATGAGAAATATGAATTAACAGAAAATATTATAGTGTCAAAGCAGTGTATTCACAATTTTTGTTTTTATGACGTCACAAACTAGTCCAATTTTATATCCTTTTTCAGAAAGAGGACAAAATGGACAAAATTACAACAATTTTAGCTTTAAAATTTATAGAGCGCAAGTTGGTTCAGGAACAATAATGACATATTCATTGATATTATCATTCTACACATTATATCAAAATATTGATCCTGAACACACATGCGCTCTGTGACTTTTACTCAAAATATCGACGAAATATATACATTTTTCTGTAAAATTCATAAAAAAACTGAAATTCAGTCATGTTTATGACGTCATTACGTACATATGGTGTCATTACTTATGAAAATATTCCGTGCTTTGAAGTCAGCATATACTTATTTAACTTAAAAACTTAATTAAATATATCTCCATCAAACTTTGATTTTGGGGGCAAATATTGGTTATTACCGAATAAAGTTCTTTGACGCTTTTATTTTCTATATCTGTTTTACTTGTCCATGCTGTCAGGATATTTTTGTAAAACCGTATTTGTGAAATAATAATGCTATGGTATTTAAAAACAGGCTTAAGGTATATTATACCGCATATAGTTCTTTCTACTGAAGAATGATTTAAATGAAATATGGACTAATAATCAAAAAAAAAATGTTAAATCCCTTGTCGCAGACCACGTTCAAAATATACGATCCTATCCCATTCTGGCCGTGGTTAAATAAGAAAAGACTATTTTTAGCTCATTAAAATATTGACCAATGCGAGTTAATATCCAATTGCAGTTTACGAAATATTTCTGTATATTTATAATGTCAAGAATAATAGTAAACAGGCCTACATATTCAATATTACACTTTTTGTGATCAACGGGTAGGAGAGAGCTTTAAGCTAACTCCAATCCGTAGCTTGAGATTATGTATTTATAACACCCCTACTAGTGTGTTCGGAACCTTTTATTTTTCGGTGTTCTCCAAATTTTAAGACCAGATGAGTTCAGAGTAGCTCTGGCAGTGGCTCTGGCGAGAGTTAGCGAGACTTCAGCGAGGGTAAATTATTCACGGAAATGTGGCTAGGAAGTGACTAGCACGTAGAGTAATGGTAAACAGAAAAGTTATGTTGCGTTTCAGTTTTTACCACCCTAGAATCAACTGATAATGCCTGTAGAAATGTACTTCAATCAATCGATCTCTCTTACATTCATTCAAACTTAAATATTAAGTATTCTCTATAATACAATTTCTGCAGTCATAAATTAAAATTTCTTTTTGCAAAAATATTTTTGCATGTGAACTATATTTTTTGACGTCAGATTAGCAAATGAGGCACTAGCATGATTTTAACTGACCAATCAGCTGAATGAGTATTGCATTATGGGTTACTACGAATCCTACAGGAATTTTACGCTTGAAAAAAAAAAGGAAAATCTTATTGTAAATAAAAAAAAGCATTTTTAAAAATACTATGTTCAGCTCATAATGACAAACACATTTGTTCAATAAACGGTGGAAGTCTAGGTTTCTGAAAGTCATACTGCAAAAGCGATTTGCGTCTGTTTAATTTAAGGGAAACTTTTTTCTCACTTTCAATTACATTTAGTACCAATTTTAATACACATTTTCAGTATATCACTAAAAGTCTAAGGAGGGGAGGGGGGCAACCAGTCTTTCAATTAATATTTCCTATAGTATAAGTAACGTTGGGAAAAAACTGTTGCTACGCCCCTGAAGTCTTTCAGAAAGGTCTGGAAACATGTATTACAGGACATGGTTTCAAAAGAAACAGGCTATATCAATATCCTGTTTACTGACAATTTTATTTATAAAACCGGATCTACCCTATAACCTTTTAATAGATCAACCTAAACCACGTGTCTTGATTTTAAATCACAATAACATAAGTAGGGGTGTATAAATTAGTATTGGACTGAAGAACTGTCATACCCTATATAGGTCCACTCCAATTTTGGTATACATGAAGATAATCTAGGAATTAAGTATAAATACATGAAATTTATCCGCAATTTAGCGGGAGATATTTCAGGCAAAATTCTACCCTATTATAAATAGTATCTGCAAACAAGGTCACTATATATATATATATATATATATATATATATATATATATATATATATATATATATATATATATATATATATATATATATATATATATATATATATAAAGTAAAATGAAGTTTCCAAATTTCATTTAACACAAGCGCTTTCTGGATTTCATAATCCGTCTTCGGGTGTTCAATTTATGTACACCTGAAGACGGATTATGAAATCCAGGAAGCGCTTGTGTTAAATGAAATTTGAAAACTTCATTTTCTTTTTCTTTTATAATTATTTTCACCTGTGTGACATCAACTGTGAACTATTTTCAACTATATATATATATATATATATATATATATATATATATATATATATATATATATATATATATATAGACAGAAAATGTTTTATGAACTTTGATATTGAATACTGCTCGTTATCTCCATATCCTTCATACTGACTTTATATGTGGTAGTAAAAAAAAATAAAAGCAAATTTTTATGTATTCATCATTAACATTATGATAAACTTTTCCGCCACTACAGCGATAAGAGTAGGACAACAATATGTGAATGTGTAGCAATATGAATCATGTTCCCCTTCATCCCTTTTTTTCAAATATTAAAAGAGAAATATAAACACGGTCTTTAAGATGATTTTATTTTAACATGTTTAAAGAAACGAACAATGTTCATGCTTCGCAGATATAACCACCGAGGTATGTACCATTATCACAATTGACGCTATGGAACATGTACTGCTCGCTTGCATAAAAGAACATGCAGTCTTGGGGAGAACTGTCTGATCCATTAGGTTCTCCGGCGCCAAAGGCGTGATATTTCATCTCAGTCATTTGTCCGTGCTTAATCCATCTCCAATCCCCACCGGGTTTTCTCCTGTTGATGTTTCTTCCCCCAACGTAGAAATGAATTCCTGTCCATTTGATTCCGATATTAATTAATATTTTAAAATATACAAGCATTGTCCAATTTTGATCAGAAAAGGAATTATAAAACAGTCATGATATGCTAAATGCAAAAATAATTACAAATAACACCCATGAATTATTCTCTGTAATACCTGTAATCGTTTTCTTTAGAAATTCTTTCATTTGCAAAGCCTCTTCAAGAGTTTCAAAGTTGGCCAGATATCCACCCATGTCCAAACATTTAGCCTTAAAGTATACAGAAAAGCACATAAATCTCTTAAAAAATTATAGTAGGTAATGCTTATAATCTGTATTTTCTGAAGTGTTTTATAACTTACAAATGCTGTGTCTGCTGAAACGTTATCTTTTTTGATCAGATAACAGGAGTCCCAGAGCTTCTCAAACTGTTCTGGACAATCACCTTCACCTTTGTTAAAAGAACAAAATCACTTTGTATTGTCAAGAAAAAAATAATAAAATTAACTCTGATGATTTCAGCCAATTATCTGCCAATATTGAAGATTATATATTGTTTTGTATGTTTCATTTACACGCATTATATATTAATTATTGGAACTGAATTCAGCTTGCTTAACTTTAAGACATATGATATTTGTATTAAAAACAATACCACCGACGAGTTCAATTGCGTCAATCTCAACCCATGAATGGGACACGGAACAATCAACTTCGATTCGTAACTCGTTTACAGGAAAATTTACTTTCTGAAAAGAATAAAATTTCATTTTAAAGTTTGATTAGTTTTCTTATAGATATATTTTAGATTCATGGTTAAGCTCATTAAAAAGTTTATCTAAAGAAAATGATTTTAAAATTCAATGATATCTACAAAGATTATTTTATGCTTAACAGAAATATGTTTTATAAAGTGGTTAACATTAAAACCAGTGAATAGCAAGAGAATAGTGGAACCAATGAGAACAAGTATATACATGTAGAAGAAAAGACATTTAAACTCACTTGTAGTTCAGGTGAAAATATCCTAGACTTTCTGATTAAATGTGCTTGTGAAACCTTAAAAATCTCAATCCACTGGTTCACTTTGTTCTTTGCCAATATTCTTTTGACGGCTCCAGCATTTAACGTTTCATAGATATTTATCTCAGTAATCCACACCTTTTCAACAAACTTGACCTGACAACGTAGAGATGTATTATAAACAAAATGTTTAAGAAGGTATATGTACTATGTAACTTTGGTGTCTTCATATGAGTAAGAATCTTATATGAACTCCGAAATCTCTCATCAAGATAATATTTAGTATAGAATATACCCCTAGCAAAAAACAAAATAAACGACATCAGCATTTTTATTTCATATCTTTTACCTTATAATAATATCGTACCTGTCTTAGATATGTCTAAAATAATACAGTACCTCTATGAACTGATCTGCGTTCAGTTGTCCATTTGCCTGTGCCCATGTGCCCGGAATATCACCATAGCGAGGATAAATATTGGGTTTTCCCAAAATCTGTTTCGCTGAGTATCTAAAAGATTAAAAAATATATAAGATCATTAATAAATAAAAGTAGCTTAGTTTAAAAAGATAGATATATTGATACAGAATAGTTTAGGAATTTATTGTAGCTTAAAACGACTTTACCGAGTTGCGTCGTACTGTGAAGAAAATGCTGTCACTTCTGATGCCCATTGGCGTTTGATGGCTATTGCTTCATATTTGAAAAAAAAATATTACAAAACGTATCTTATCCTGGTTTAATATAAATTTCTCTTTTTCAGCATTATAAAAATTTTGATATATATTGTTAATTAAAATATGAATTTAAAGTATTTCTCTCTTTTTTAAGCATATATACATTCTGTAAATTGAATTATTATAAAGTGAACTTTCCTGTCTACCTCTTGAAGAAGATATGATACATGTAAATATACAAACACACAACACCAACATCGTAGTTTTCTTGACAACACGATAATGGTATCTGTTGCTAGCTTGGTAATGTTCCTATAAAGTACGCAAAAATACTTTAAGCTATTTATTGGATCATAGCTATACTCATATTTCGTTTTGGTATATAAAATTATACATTACATATTATTCAAATAACATCATTTTTTGTACACTGCAGCCTTTAAAAAATGTTAATTTAAATTTACTCTTTAAACACTTTGTTCTCGTCAATTTCCTCTTTTCAGTTAATAAGAAAGATATTCTTCTTTTCCCAATTCAAGAATGCCAATTTGTTAAATAAATAAAGATAGACTGTCAAATTGCAAATCATGATAATAGTACAGTATTAATAGCCAAAACCCTTCAGAATATCGATTCATAAAAAAGATAATCAAAATATATTTGTAACACTCCAAAATGCGATGGGACTCTAAAGTCTGAAGGTAACACCAAAGTCCGATGGTAATGCAAAAATCCGATGATCTGTGCCAAGGAGCACACAGCACACTGTGACCGGTTGGCTGGGGATGCTAACTTCACCATAGCACTTGATCTCACCTCTGGTGTTCTGGAGGTCCGTGGTTGCCCTGCTCCAATTTTTTGGATGTTAAATGGACTTTTAAGCTCAAATATTGTTCGTCTTTTCCATATATCTCATTGAACAGATATAGGTTTGGTTAATATCTGTCAATATCTCTATGCAAATATTACATGTAGTGTTTTGACAAAAAATATTGTCTCGTTTCTAGTCGGGTCAAATTTCAACTATACTTCATGGGAACGGTTTCTTGTAATGAGACCATCTAGTGCAAATGATTTCAGATTAAGAACTGTAATTAATTGTTTCCCTAATCAATATCAGTTTTGCATCCATGACCTATCCCTGATTCAGGTTGCTGCAGAAATGCTGTTTTAATTGAAAATAATAGCCATATATATACTTACAATATCAGACTCCTAATATCAGAAGAAAAGATGGATTAAAATGTGACGATTTTTCACTTCTTTTATAGTTAGCTAGAATCAGAATGTCTAGATTGTTATGTTACAAGATTGATAACCCTTTATGACACTTCTTCCTGTATTAAATAAAAGATAAAGATTAAGTTCAGAACATTAATAGAGAACAAAACAAGCCAAGTATTATAAATCTGTACTCGTCGGCGACATATGTCTACTCGTCGGCAACAGATTGAAGTTGAAACATACATAACTTTTGTAGAAGTTTGTGAAAAATATTACATTTCCTTGTTCCCATGAGCTCAAATTATATTAGATTGTATTATTAAAGGTAAGACTATCAAATATAATTTCGTAGTTCTGATAGGTGACCTGAACAAACCAATTTACAAATCAATTTTGGTTTTAAACTGCAAATCCTAACATAAATGATACGCGGGTATGTTAAGGAAGCATATAAGTAATTTCTCGGGAAATTTAGACTTTTTGAAGAAAATTTAGTTTAATAAATTACCAAAACCACTGATAAACTTAAATTGTTATTTACTATTGCATACAGATAAAAGCGTGTCTAACGCAAAGACGTGCATCACCGCCACGGCATCATGTGACTTCTATTAATAGCAAAATTTTCCTTAATAAAAAGGCTTACAGAACAGCAATACTCCGGAGTTTGATTATTTCTTTGAGTATGTAATATAGCTGAAAAAATTCTATTTTGTCTAAAAAGTGCTGCTAGAATCCAACTTTCTTGTCCGTAGAATATTTATTCCACGTATTCGTACGAAACCTTACCCTATGTTTTGAATTTTATACATATGAATCGAGATTTTTCGTACAACCATGCTTAATGCCTAGGTCACATTTCCCGGCCGGTAGCCATAGACTAGTCGTAATCGGTAGTAATCCGTGGTGTTAACGATGCCCCAACATCGGTCCACATCGGCCTATTAGTCCTAAAAGTATCAGTCACATTATCCAGCGATGTGCGTACGATGGGCAACAAATGCGTTTTATGAGAAAAATGGCGTGGTTGCCGGCCGGACTTACAAAAGTTCAGCGATCATTGCTAATCATAACACGATGTTAATTCCAGGATAATCGGCCGTTGTATACTACATCGTTCATACATTGGTGAACATCGTTCGTACATCGGTCGACAACGGGCCAATGTTTGGTCGAACATCGACCGATGATCGATCGTTATCTGTTGAATACCACTCAACCCCCCGATGACCTCAGATTCAATGGATATTGGACGATGCTCGGCCATACATCGGCCGATCCTTGAAAGATGTGATAATGATGGGTTGTCGATGAGGAGCGATGTGAGGCATCCTTGGAGACATCGCTGAATTTTAACTACGAAGTATTTCCTACCGATGACCCCACCGATTCGCAAAAAAGACTCAGTCACCGTCCGATCACTAGTGGTGCCAAACCGGCAACCACGCCATTTTCATCAAAAAACGCATCGGTTTCTCATCGTATACCCCATCGTTGGATAATGTTACTTATACTTTACTCGGGATTCTAGCAGCACTTTCCAAGTTTGTCAAAACGCAAACTTTCAATCTGTACAAATCGTATGTTTTGAAATATCCAGCTTATTGTTGTTATATCTCGTGAATCTTTAAAAAAATTAAATTCATTTCTTATATTTACATTATTTTTCTGATGACTTGCCATAAAGAATTCAATCCACAAAATGCCTTATTGGCCTAGCAAATATGTAAATTTTGAAAAGGACATTAGAAAAAATGTTTTGGGTTATTATGAACCTAAAATATTGACACATTTCACATGTGCAATAATTTCGTCAAAACCGGATGTTACGATGTCAAACTAAATTCTAAAACGCAGCATGGTTCGAGTTTTTCCGGAAAATTGCTCAAATTTTACACAATAAATCGTGAATTTCACATAGAGCACAGTCGTTACCGCAAAATATTGAAACATAAAAATAATTATAACTGTTCGACAAATAATTTTCAATGAAAATATTTTGCGGTAACGAGTGTGCTCATGGTGAAAAAAAAAATAAAATAAAATGTCGACGCGTGTAAAAATGCTATGATCATGAACCACCATATTCGTCTTTGTCTTTTATACAAAATTTAAAGGGCCAATTAGAAAGGTTTATAATATTGTTTATGTAAGTGGATGAGCACTAATATCACACAAGCAAGAAAATGTCAACTGAGGCACCTATAGAAACGTCTGGCTAGGCCTAATGGAATAAATATGATGGCTTCAGTCTAAAAACATATCCGTTAAAAATGCCGATTTATCGACAGTTCTTTTTCCAAAATTAGACTGATTTTCAAACAAGTACAACTTTCAACTTACTATATGTTTGACTATCGCAAATATAAACTTTCATGTCAATTATTATGTTTGTTTATGACTGTGACGAGTATAAGAAATAAGAGTTAATTCTAAACTTTGTTATCAAGAATCGGTAATTTTTTTAGAGTGACAGTCCGTGATTCATTGGTAGGTTATAAGACATCAAATAAATAGATAACACACATGGTGATAGAAAAAAAGCAGTCAATTTTCATTGAAGGCAATAAATGTGGCAAAGAATTTAAAAATTACATTTCTGAAATCACAGGAAAACAAACTTATGAGTTCAGAGTTGTACATGACGTTACTCGGTGTACGTCATTTGTGACGTCATAATAGATAGCAGTCATTGGGAATCAGTGGCAGGGAGAAATGGGGAAAATTCTTTTTTTTTTTTTTTAAGATAAACATGTAGTTTTCTGTCGCTTTGTTAAATTCATTTAATTGAAACGGGAAATTATCTATTATTAAAAAAAAATTAACAACTATGTGAACTGGATTCAACGTAGAAATCGTGTGTGTATTTACATAAAATACATATATTTGTATAAGTATCACATGTAGCAGCAATATATATATATATATATATATATATATATATATATATATATATATATATATATATATATATATATATATATATATATATATATATATTGCTGGTACATGTGATACTTATACAAATATATGTATTTTATATATATATATATATATATATATATATATATATATATATATATATATATATATACCGTAAATCTTTTTTTTTATTTCAAAACCGAAAAATCATTCATTTCACTACATAAAACCGCGTAGATAATTTTATGCACTTGCATAACGTGAAAAATAATTTTTAGCTTTCTTCAAACGTATTATGAAGAAGTGGTTTCAATTTTGTTTTCAGAAACAAGAGCTGAATCTAAAATATATGACCCTAGAAAGTGTTTATTATTATTTATAAAAGAACATCAAATCAAAGATCCTTCTTTGGCCATTATAGTGTTTCTCATTTCAAATATTGATTATTATGTATTTTAATTTTTTTGCATGTAGATCAATATTCAAAATAGCCCCTGCATTGTTATGGCTTAGGGTGGGGGGAAGGTGGAGTAGGGGGGCTATGTCTTCCTCTGCATTCAATATCTGAAAATCGCTGGATCCGCTACTATGAAGATTAGTAGTTTATCACTATACGATTAGAAGAGGTCAAGGGGGGGGGGGTCCATGCTTTGACCTAAATTATACGTTCATTACATACAATTATATGAGCATTATTGTGAACTACAGGACTTTTCTAAAGTATACTTCAAAATTAAATAATTTACTGTAACATTTTCTTGAAAAATGTTTTTAAAAGATAAGACCGCGGAACATTAACTGGCAAAATTGGAAATATACAGCTTACGTCATTTCTATCTGTTACAATCAAAACATTCAGTGATAGACAATGAAATGGGCGGGTACAATTCGACGCGGACGTTTGGAAAACATGGGATTGAAACTGCAGATCGAAATTCATTTCAATCCACCTCAGCTACGCTAGAATGCACATTATTACTGATTGACCGACCCAGAAGACAAATAATTTCAATTTTGGTACAGTTTTTTTTTTTTTTTTTTTGTCCAGTGTTTTAAATGAATAATTATTTAAGGGACAAATATTTCATTTCTGTTTGGTAAATATATGTATATCTTTGTGTTGGTGGTGGTGTTTTGACACGTACATATGTATAAGAATAACATACGCATGGAAATCATAATGTGAAAATGAAATTGAAAGTGATAAACGATAAGCTAGCAATGCACAATTAAAAAAAACATAATAAAATTATTACATGTAAGTCAATCGCTAACAATGTATTAACAACACACTACAAATACCGTACTCCATACATAAATTATTTTACTGGATTAAAGATGACCCAGCGA